CAACACAAAGGATCTAACGCTACTGCCGCAGTGTTGCGCTGCTGGCACGCGCGCGCCTGCACTAGAGCAATGCACGAAAGACACTTCCGCGACCTGTCCACGTCGCATGTGTCCCAGCATCTCCTCTAATGCGAACAGTTTACTGCTAACATGCTTCTTGCCATGTCTAATGTGAACTCTGAACGCTTCACACTAAGCATTTTACCCTAGGCTGCAAACTGCCGCACGCTTTGTGCTAAAACTGTCAGTTGGCACTGCCTGGCACCAACGGCTTCAATCGCAGCTGCAGCGCCGTCTCAAAACTCTCGGTCCCTGGCTCCATCCGCAGCACATGAAACACTTTTGCCAGCAACGCCAACTCATCCAACGCCGGTGCATCGCTGGAGCTTATCTCGATAACACGATCACCGCTCTGCGTACGCTCCCAACTGACAAGGACGTCCCGAAGTGGAAACGTATTTCCACTAACGACGAGCCGACAGCGGTGCTGCGCATCTCCGGTTCCAGGGAAGGCCTGCACTGTGATGTGGCCATTCGAATGCGGCGGAGCGGCTGCAGTGATGGACATAGCACTTGACGCCTCTGCTGCTGTCGACACTTGTCCCACTGGCCAGGAGCCCAGGACTCCAGAGAGGTCTTGATCGGTCCTGTTCGTGAGCTGGACCTTATCACTGCTGCACAAGGACAAATCGCTTCAGAACGATGCACTCTTGTGCTTCAGCTTTATTTTAAGCCTCGCACAGCCCAGTTGGTGCGGACTCGGAATTCATCTTGCTTCGCTTTCCAGGCTATGAAGGTGGCCAGAAGATGTAACGCGGGCTGTAGGTTGCCGCCTCCAGCAAAGAGTGCCAAGCGATATGTCGGAGCTCGGCCGCACCGGACAAGAATCTGAGCCTCACTAACCTGCAGCTGCTATGTGGCACCCGACACAGCATCGACCCTGGAACCCTACTCGAACGTTGCGATCTGATTTGGAGTTGGGTATCACTTTTGCGAAGTTGCAACTCCAAGCATCTGCTTCGGTTCTGGTTAATGCCTTACAACGCCATTCAGACAAGGAACCAACGTGTCCAAATCGGGTCCGAAATCGGGTAACATGTCTGACCGCAAAAATTCGGTAAGAGCATCCAGCATCTTGAAAAACACATTCGGTTTGGGCGACGGGTCTCTGAACTGGATGAGATAGACTGCTTCATCCGGATCAAACGCAGCGTTCACGAGATGCCCGGCCCCTGCCACTGCGTAGACATCCACAACGACTTCCATGGGCTCTCGGACAGGTGTAGTAGATACTCGCCGCCGCTTGGGAACGAAAGCCGAAGAACCTGCGCGACACATCATTGTACTGCAAATTGCAAACCTCTTTGGCTAGTGCCTGCCTTTGCTTCACATCCTACACGTTCGAATTATTCTAGCAGCCGCCCCTCAGGAATCTACATACTGCACGTCAACAACAATACCGACCTGCTCCGGCTGAAACTTCTTTAACGGCCTCGGGAGCCTGCGCAAAAGCTGCGCAGTGGAGTGCACAAAACAGCAAAGAGGCCCGGGAAAAATGCTTGGGCCTTCTTCTTCTTGTCACTTGCTGTGCAGGCTGGCCCAGGAGATGCTGGAGCTGACGCGACATCTGGGGCCCCGACAGGACGACAAACGCGACAACCTATTCTGCATGTGCTTTGGCTATGCAGCTCGTCATGCAGGCTGTGCTGCAAATTACGTGCACGAAAACTCTGTCGCGTCGTGCACAACTGCGACCGCCTGCCTTCGTCTTCTGGCTCATGTCAACGCAGCTGCGCAGAGACCCTAGGATGTTTTTGAGCCCAAGTCTGTCCTGATCCTGTAGTGGCTAACAATGCTGCCTGTTCACGTTTAGAGGGGTCGGCGGCAGTGGCGGCAGCCATTAAATATACCTACATACCTACATACCTACATACATACATACATACCTACATACATAAATAGCTACATATCTACATACATACATACATATATACATACATACATGCCGCAAGCTATTTGCTCAATTACTTCTCTTTGTACTTATTTAAATGTCTTTCCCTTAATAACAAACAAAGGAAAAGCCCTAAACCACTAAACCCTCAACCCTAAACCCCTTAACCCCGAACCTCTAAACCCTAAACCCTAAACCAGAACCTGAACCCTAAGCGCTGAATCCTGATCCTAAACCCTGAACCCTAAACCCTGAGCCCTGAGCCCGGGCCTTTCTTGGAGTTGACGGACGGATCGAGGGGGTCCCACGACGCGCGCCGCAGTATCCAAGCCGCCCAGGAGAGAGGCCTCGCTCCGCTCCCGGGGTTTAGGGTGTTAGGGTTTAGGGTTTTAGGGTTTAGGGTTTTAGGGTTTAGGGTTTTGGGGTTTTAAAGTTTAGGGTTTAAGCTTTTAGGGGTTTAGGGCTTTAGGGTTTTAGGCTTTAGGCTTTAGGGTTTAGGGTTTAGGGTTTTAGGGTTTAGGGCTCAGGGTTTAGGGTAGAGGTACTAGAAGGCTCCATCATTTGGTTCCTTTGAAACGGGCTTTGTCAGCGCTATTCCCTTTAAGGGTTTTATAACAGGGTTGCTTTCGAGGAGTTCCAGAAGGGTGTTGCCTATTTACAGCTACTCCCTTTGGTTCTGTAAGGGCTCCATCAGGGTTCGGGAATAGGAGGGACTTCAGGACGGGTGGCTATGGGGTCTATGGGCTTGGGTTTAGGGTTTAGGGTTTCGGGCCTTGCGTTTTACAGGGTTTATGGGGCTTGTTGGGGTTATGGGCCTAGGGGTTTTGGGCTTAGGTTCAGGGTTTGCCGTTGTAGGGCTTTGTAGGAACTTCTTTTGTGAATTTCTGGCGCAGGCTTTCTGCAGCGTTTGATCAAGACTCCATTTTTGCTTTGGTCTTGGCTTCATGAGTGCTTTATGATGGTTTCGGGAGTATGGCTTCTGGGGTGAGAGGTTTCTGGTTTAGGAAGCGTCTCCACCTGGTTTATGTGCAGCTGCATGTCCCTTCGCCAATGCAGTTGCAGCAGGATGCTGTTTGCCGTGGTCGTGCTTCGGAGCTACTGATGACCAGCGGCTTTGCGGCGGGCAGAACTGTCTTGATCTGGGGGGGCTGATTATCCCGTGACGTGCCAGACATCCTGACGCGTTTTGATGGTGGCTCGTGGTCCGGCCCCGATGTCGGTACAACATAACTGCCTCACTTATGCTCACGTGCCCTCCTGAACACGTCGCGGCACCTCTCCCTTTAGCTGTGGGGAGGTTCTCAGGCCCCGAAAACATACCAAACGATCCACAGACAGGCTGCACCTCGATATGTTTTGGGCTTGCCCTGCATAGGCCGAAACCACACACACACATATATAAATATATATATACATGTTTATATATGTACCACTTCAGCTTGCAGGGTGGGTCTAGATGGAAGTAACCTTATCACACCCAAGGCCAAAGCCTGCCCAGCGCGAAAGTCACAGCCGGTTCATCCTAGAGTGGGAAAAGCGTGGAATCAACCTGTAGAGTTTAGGGTTTCGGTTTTTCTCACACCCTAAACCTGAAAGTGCTTGAAACAGATCTCCTAAATTCCTCAGACCCTATCTACCAAAAACTCAAGGACTGAACCCTTTTCCCCTCTGGGCCCCCCGGCTAATAGGGGCACCGAGCCGGTCCCGCGGAGGCACACGGAAGGCAGCTCGACTTCCAGGGAGGCCTAAGGGTTTAGGGTTTAGGGTTTAGTGGTTTAGGGTTTAGGGTTTAGGGTTTAGGGTTTAGGGTTTAGGGTTCAGGGTTTAGGGTTTAGCCTGGGTTAACCAAAAGAATCGGAGCTAGGGTTTGCTACTCTGCTAAGCCACAAGGCTGTTTAAAAGGCTTCTTCAAAAGGCTTCTTCCAGGTATAATGATCGATCCTGAGGACTAACTTGTTCAGCGATGGAGACTGCGGCATGGTCTCAAAAGTGCAACTTTGGTGTGGGTCTGCCTAGGTGCAGGAACTCGGTCTTGACTCCGTATTCCGAAGCATGTGGCATTTAGGTGTTGAAGTTTCAAAGGTTTAGGCTTTAGGGTGTTGAACAACGGTTCAAGGGTGCTTTTTGTGGCTGTGGGGCTTAGGGTTTCAGGAGGGTCTAGGGTTTAGGGTGAACGGTGATGGTCACCACCACCAACACCAACACAAACACACTCACCACCACCACCACCACCACCACCACCACCACCTGCAACGTCTTGTTCATCTGACTCTACTAGATATGCAGATAATCCTGCGATGGCGACGATGATGATGGTGATGACGACTAGTCTGTATAATGCTTATCAAGCTGTTGAGGCTACTGGTACTGGCGGCGGTGTTTGTGGCCTTGTGGCGCTAGCTTCCTCGAATCATTGGTATATTTTTGCTTCTGAGAGCCTGGGGAACTTCAGACCCGCCCTTTCGGTTACATCAAGGGCGCTACGAGCTTTAGGATTTGGGATTTCGCTTCCCTTCGGCAACAGACTGTCCGATATGAGGGTTTTGCTGGCTGCAATGCACCAACTGCACAAAAAAAAAAAAACGGCCTCAGATCATGTCGGAGCCGACTCCAGCTCGGTCGAGCCGGAGTCGGCCGTAGTCCTTGCATCCCTGCGAGCACCGGCAGCTAGGAGCAACTCTACCACTGGAGCATGGCCTTCACTTGCTGCAGCCATCAGGGCTGTGTTGCCCTCAGTATCACATGCCTCCAGTTCAGCACCGGCCTCCAACAGCAACTTCACCACTAAACCATGACCTTGCTTTGCTGCATGCATCAGCGCTGTGCAGCCATCTTGGTCACACAGCCCCTTCTGAGCACCTGCCTCGAGGAGCAACCGCACGGCTTCAACACGACCGTAAAAAGCTGCAAAGATGAGCGCTGTGCAGTTCTCGTCATCACTGAAATCCTTCTGAGCTCTTGCCTCCAATAGCAGCTCCACGACTTGAGAGTGACCGCGACCTGCTGCGGCCATCAGCGCTGTATCGCCCCAACGGCACTGGCCATGCAAATCCGTCCGAGCGCCGGCTTCCAGGAGCAGCCGCGCGACCTCAACGTGGCCATTCATAGATGCTTGCATGAGGGGCGTGGTGGCCGAACGCAGAAGATCCGGGTCCAGCGGAAGCTGCAGCAGAGCTTCGACCTGACATGCGAACGTTGTCGGAGGCTTAGGGCTGCGCCTAGCAGCGGGAGTCTATTGCATCGCTTCTGAAGAAACAACAGTTCTAAACTTTGCTTGCAGGCGTGTGTATTACCTCGCGCCATGGCTTTCCTCATTGACATACCGCGTCTGCGGTGGCAGGTGTGTCATGGATTGAGCTTGGTGATTCTGCTCCGCTTGTGTGCGGGCTGCCTGTTCCGCATGGTGATCTGCGACGCTTTTGGTCCTACGACGGCAAGGACCTCAGCGACCACCACGACGTCTGATGCATGCCCGTTGTGGATGAGGCAGCTGCTATCTCGCGCACAAACAGCGCGGGCTTTCCAAGAAAGCCGGAACTCAAATCATTGATCGTTCATAGCAGAGCCTCAAGGCCTTTGTCCCCGGTAACCTCAGATTCAGGGCCGACCATGGCGTGAACCCTGCCCTTATTCAGGCCACCTACATGTGGGCGTGGCGCAAGAGCATGGGGTGCACCTAGCCAGACGGGCCGAAGCGAGCCCTGAAAGTGCTGTCAAGCACATGGGACTGCGTGGAAAAGACATAGGTTGCAGTATCTTAGGCTGCCCCTGATTGCGCTTGAAATCCTGACAACACCTAGGCTTTCAGCACATTTAAGCTGCCCCACGCAACGGCGCAAACTATGCGCACCGGCGCGACCTAGTTACCCTAGTGTCCGAAATCCGCAACATCTAAATCCCGTATAGACCCCTTGACAGAAGGAACCTGCAGAAAAACCCTATTTAAGGTTTTTTGTGTCAAAAGAGCCTAAACCCTAAGCCTAAAAGCCCTATACCCTCAAAACCCTACACCCTAAACTCTCAACCCTAAAAGCCTTAAACCGTGGCTCGGGCGAGGTTGGAGGGTGTTGGAGGCTGTTCAGGGCTCGGCTTGCTCAGTTCCCTCTACACCCTAAACCCTATATAATTAAACCCCAAACCCTAAACCCTCAACCCCTAAACCCCTCAACCCCTAAACCCCTAAACCCCTAAACCCCCAAACCTCAAACCCTAAACCCCAAACCCTAAACCCCAAACACTAAACCCCTAAACACCTAAACACCTAAACCCCTAAACCCTTAAACCCCAAACCCTAAACCCCAAACCCTAAACCCCAAAGCCTAAACCCCAAAGCCTAAACCCCAAACCCTAAAACCCTAAACCGCTCAGTCCCCCCTGCCTCGGCCGCGAGCCCCTGTCCGGCGGCCTCCCACAGCTCTTGGGGCTGGTCCCCGGAAGCCTCAGAGAGCCTAGGCTGTGGAGTTTAGGGTTTAGGGTTTAGGGGGTTTTAGGGGGCTTTAGGGGGCTTTAGGGTTTAGGGTTTTAGGGTTTTAGGGCTCAGGGTTCAGGGT